TAGAATGAAAACAAAAGGTGGCATTTCAAACCAATAGAGAAGTTCCTTCAGTCCCTCCAGAGGCTGTGTTTTGTGATGCCGATGACAGTCTTGTGCATGAGCAAACCGAGGAACCTGGACAGTCAACGTAATGAGCCAACAAGGTTTACTTTTCCAATGCTCAAAAATCACTGAGTAGGACCGTGGCTGGAATTGACTGCTGGTAAAAGGCTGAGATGAGTGTTGTTCTCCTGGAGGATTGCAGACCGATTCTGCCAGCAGGGCATCTCTGCTGAAGGGAAATAAAATCAAATGCTGTGGCATTTGTGGTCATAAGGTTCCTGGGTTCCTCTGGACTGTGCTTTGGAGGAAAGGGTGCCTGGTCTGGGATGTGCCCAAAGAGATTTGCAGAATTGAAACTGACTTTCAGTGCCTTTAAATGCAGAGACTCCCAGTGGACAGGTAGAGGGTAAATGCTCACTAATGAACAGCTGTAAAACTTCTGCCATGACTGGCCTCAGTACGGCAGTGCTGCACAGAAATCTGTCTCTTGACTTGTTTAGTTGGCTTGGTGTCCATCCTGGGAGAGAGACAAGGTGATGGGAGGAAACAGAGGACACAGAGAAAGCTCCTTCAGTTATTCTGTGGAAGGAGTGTCAGAGCCTCCCTCGTGGTGAACGTGCTGGAAAACCACTGCATATCCCTTTCACTTGACGCCTGAGCTTTTGTTGAAACTGTGGTGGTGTGATGTGATGTACTGATGGGGTCAAGCCCCTCGAGTTCCTCACCTCTGGTAAGTTTCTGAAGGCTTCACAGTCAGGTCCCCCAAACCACCTCTCTGTGCTGGAGCATAGGAACCATGAAGATCAGATTGTTTTTTGCAGGACACAGCTGCATCTCTGGGTAACACCTGTAGCCTTGATGCCTAGACCTGCTTTAGGTCTTAGCTCAGTGAAAGCTTGTGCCGAGAATCTTGGTCCTTGTTTCTGTGGGCAAGGCCTCCATGCTGCTTCCCAGCATGCGCAGGCAGGGGACATGATGTGCCTTCTGCCCTCACCCACATCTTCATCCCTTCCCTGCAAGACAAAGGTAGGATGCTGGTGTCCACCAGGGCTGGCTGCTTGCTCTCCCCACTTCCTGCACAAGGCTGGCAGATGTTTCTTGTTTGCTGGAGCTGTGTGGCTCTGGCTACTGGGCTGGGAGCAGCTGCTGCTGCTGCCAGGCGGAAGCACTCGGCGAGTCTTTCCTAGACAGCTTTGAATGGGAGCCAGGAGCCCTCTCACTACAGGAGAAAATCCACGAGGTCAGGAAATACAGCAGCAGCAGCTCTGGCTCCATGCTGGGGCTGTTGGCTTGGCATGTGGATTCCAGCTTTCCTCTTTCCAGATGATGCTCCTGAGTGGCTCTCCTCCTTGCCATCTCACTCAGCTGTTGCTTGACAGCTCTTTGTGGCTTTTGGGGTGTGCAGTAGCTGAGTACTGCAGAGGTGATAAATTTGGATAGGCAGGGGAAACACTAAGTGGTGACCTGGATCAGACCTTTCAGATCTGCTGAAGAATGGAAGAAGCTGCAGAAGATGGAAGAAGCTCTGTTCCTGCTCTGTGTGGAACTGGGAGGCTGTGCTTTTGTGTTTCCCTCTGTTATTTTGTGGTCAGCTCTGTGTGGGTTCTGTCTTAGCTGCTGAGTAATAGAAACTGGAAATCCTCACATCAGGAGAAGCTTTCACAACCACCAGCAGTCTGTAAACGTCCATCTGGTGTGTCCCCAGCATGAGAATTTGGGGTGTCTGTTACAGTTGCTCTGACAGGAGCCCCATGCTCTCTTTTCTGTTTCTGGTTTTTAGGAAGCCAGAAACATTGTCTTTGGGATGGCTGTTCCATGAACCAGCCCCTGTGGTGGGGGTGGTGATGTTCACGTGGCATTGAGGTACAGCCATGCCTTTGATGAAACCATGTGTGCATCGATGAGAAGTCTTGTTCTTCCCATGTTGAGGAGTAAAAAGCGTGATGGGGAGCTGTGAGATGGTGTTGGTAAGGTCAACTTAAGGATAAGATTGGCTGCCCAATCTTAGCAGAGTTTGGCCATATGGAAATTCCTGCTTTCCTTACAGCCTTTGGCCAGGTTGCTTCTTTTGTGGCATTTGCACATGTTCTGATGTGCAGTTGGGTGTGCGTGCTGCTTGTGAGGAGTTTGCATTGTGGATCCTTTGGAAAAGGAAGCAAGCTCATCTGAACATTGATTTTAACACATGTTAATTCAGGCAGCTCTCATGCCCAGAGCTGTCCATCATTCCCCACGCTCTTGTGGACATGTTTTGCAGCAATGGTAGGAAATGGGTGGGTAGGCTGGACTTGCTATCCTCTGCAAGCTGCAGAATCTCTTCTGCCATTGTTGGGGCAGGGATGGCATGCAGAGCAGTGAAGAGTTAGCTGAGACTGGCACCTTCTAGGTATGGCGTGAGCAAACACCAACTGTTGCAGAGTTCTTGTATGTAAATTGTCTGTCTGCTGGCCATGAGTAATGCATTAGCAATAGGTCCTTTGCCCCTCTCATTTCCCCTGCCTCTTGGATGGGTGTGGAGCAGGAAGATGTGGGTCTGTGTTTCTCTGGAGGAACCAGATCTCAAAGCTCTGGGCTAAGGTGGTGGTGTGCAGGGCTTGCTGGTGTGCGGCTGCCCCTCTGCTGTGCAGTGGAGCTCACCTGTGGTCCTGAGCAGAGTAAGACCCTTAAGCTGACATGGGTGACCACGTGGCCCCCACCTCCTGCTGCAGTGTGGACCAGAAGGCTGGTGTGGCTGCATGGGCTAGGGGTCTTCTGAAGGGATAGGCAATGCCTTCTGCTGTGCTGGTCTTGAGGGAGGACCTCCTCCTTGAGAACTCATGTCTTCTCCTCCCTATATTGAGTCAAGGCTTTTCTCACTGCCTTATAGCAAGTCCTATAAGCCTGGGCAGTTGTGTAGTCCTTCTTGAGCATCATAGTGGCAACTGCTTCATCATCAGCATCAGATACAGAGCAAGGTCCATTGTAGCCACTGCAGGCCTTTATTTACAGCCACCGTGTGTTTTGCTGGGGGTTGCAGATCTCCCTGCTCTGTAATGAAAGATGGGAGCTGGTTGCAGAGTTTCTTCAGACCCTCAAGACCCCTCTGTTCAGCAGTGAAGCTGTTTGCTGCAGGAGCGATCCCCTCCTGGCCAGCAGTGTTGGTGGAGATGGTCAGTCAGCATTTGTTCCTCAGTCCCCGTTTTATCCTGTCACCGTCCCTCATGATAATTGTCTCTGCCCAGAGAGATAAGAAGCCTGGGGTGGGCATCTCTCTTGTCCCTGAGAAGCAGAGTATGTGAGAAGGTCACAGACGTGAGGGTGTGCATTAATGGAGCAGAGCAATGTATGCGCTTAGGTTCTTTCCTGTAGTCTTGTTTTGAGTCTGCATCTCTTCCTTGGCTGCCAGAACAGAGGCAGATCAGACTTTCCCAGGAAAAAGTGGCACATTTGGATAGGCACTTAGGGTATGACATTATTTACACTTCATTTTCCCCCTCCCATCACCACTTTTCCATGGTGTTTTACTGCTTCTCCAGCAGTGAAGAGCAGCACAGCAACCAGAGGTCCTGGTTAGGGTGGCATCATGTTTGTTATTTGGTTGCTCCTTGGCACCCCCTCCTTTGTCTCTCTTTAGTATCCTGGGTGCTGAGAAGGGCATGAGCTTTGTTTGCCTTCCGACTACCGAGACAGCAGCTCAGAAATGGGCTTCGGGAAGAGATGTTTGTGTCCGACTGCTCCCAGCTCGAGTGGGTGATGGAGCTGTCAGAGTGGTTTAGAGTTGCAGTCAGGTGGGGATTGAAGGCAAAAGGTTCTGGCCTCCTTGCCATTAGATTTCTGCTGGGTTAGCAGATGCATTAAATGCAGTCTGGGTCTAGAGTGGCCGTTGCTGGCACAGTTCGTACCAGCTTCCAGAGTTTTGGGAGCAGGGCTGGCAAGCCTTGGGAGGAGGATTGAATGATTTAACTGTCTGGGGTGGGGACAAGGAGTGTGTTCTAATCCACGTGCAGTAGCGTTGCAGGCAGCATTGAAGGCTGACTGTCATGGGGAACTGAGAGCTTGTCTTCCTGCTACCTGCTGCATTTTGGGTGCTTTCCCCAGAGCTTGCAGATGGCAGCTGAGAATGAGTGTTGGACCCTGGAGTGACTTTCAGAGGGCAGGGCCTGCAGTCCAATGAGGATGGATTTCTATTTAAACCTTTGAGGTTTTGTAATCTTCCTTCAATAGTTCCTCTTTCTCAGTGGGCTTGGAGCAGAAGTTTAAGGGAGGAGCTGGGGGGATGTGAATTTTCTCCTGCTGACGGGCCGTGGCAAGTACACAGTACTGCAGAAGTGTAGTTTGCTCATCCTGGCCCTAGTCATCATTTCTCAGTTAGAGCTTTTCATGGCAGCAGCTCTTTATTCCCTGTTGGGCATGCCAACTTCATCTCTCAGGAGCAGGAGTGCCCCTTCTGCCGGCCTCCCTCTCTGATGGCCAGCACAGTGGGAGGCACCATTAGCTGGAGGATGGGCAGAGGGTGTGGATGTGCCACTGTCTCAAACCTGCCATGTGGTTTGAGGTTTAATGCAGCCTTGAGGGTGTAAGACATGGCAGTAACAGCATATTTGGGTGGGGCTGGATGTTTTTCCCTGCTCCTGTGGGAATTGACATCCCAACCTCATTGTCCAAGGGTTTCAAATCTATCAAATGATTGTCATCTTGAGGTAAGATAAATCAGGGACAACACTGAACACTTCTGCAAAACCAGACCTCTTAAATTGATTACTTTAGGGATTGATTTACACAGCATGTACCTCTGTCTTCTCATCAGTAACACCTCTTGAAGTTTGCTCAGGGAATCTGTGAAGTTTGCATTCAGACTGTCAGGCTGAAGGATTGCAACATGCCACAAGATAAACATAGTTTTTTATTCAGTTTGATGGATTATTTTGCCCATGTTGAAGTAACTTTTCCTAACACGGTGACCATGTTTCTCCTTGCAGGTGGTGGTGCTCCTGGAAGTCCTGAGCTGGGGTCAGCTGGAAGATGACTGAATACAAGCTGGTGGTGGTGGGAGCAGGTGGTGTTGGGAAAAGTGCTTTGACGATACAGCTCATTCAGAACCATTTTGTTGATGAGTATGACCCCACGATAGAGGTAGGTGGCTCTGGGCACAGGGTCTGTCTTGTCTGCATGTTTTCCTCTTGCTGTTTTCCACCTTGTCTCCAACCCAGAGCATACTCAGTTTGATCTCAAGTCTGAACTTGATTAGGAATGTTCGTCTGCTTTGCAGAGCTATTCTGAGTCACTACATGTGTGTTGAGAGGTCACAGTGACCGACTTGTGTCTCCTGCAGGAGGACAGTGATGTCTGCTGAAGAGAGATGACACAGAAGGCAGCAGAAGCAGGCAGAGCTGGGCAGGTGCTGAGAGGCAGCAAAAAAGTCCTCTCTTCTGATGAGATGACAGCATAGGGAGGGATTAAAGGTTTGGGATTGAAGAGCCATTTTGTGCCTGTGCTTCCATTTCTCCTCCTGTCAAATCAGAGTAAATATATTGACTTTTTCTGCAGGATATTTTGAGATTTACTGATGAAATGGATTTTACCAGAGCTTGGTTGTATTATGTATGTCCTGCAGTTTGAGACGTGCCAAGCAGCTGAACTGTTGTGGTTCACAGAGTGCTGCCTCTGCTTCATCGCCAGGAGTTAGAGGTTGATGTGTGGGTTTCGCAGTCAGTGTGGATGGTAGCACTGACCTGTCTAGCTCAGCAAACTTCCTGAGGAAGCAAGCAGGGACCCTGTGGTCTTCACAGGCTGTATGGGGGTAGAGGGGGATCTGGTCTTCAATATCCATTACACTATTCTTTTTTTTTTTACTTTTTAAAAACATATTCCATTCTCTGTCTGCTATCACTGCAGCTAGTGGCATGTTAATTAGCCTCTATGTGACTTACACCTTTGTTGGGGGAGATGTGGGTAGCAGCTGCTGCTCTGCACGAGGAGTAAGTCCATCCTGGGAAGGCAAATTGCAGCTCTGTCATGTCTCTTGGACAATGACCTCCCTGTCTGCAGTCCTAAAGAATTCTCTGCCAGATGCGTATAAATACAGCTGTGGTTGCCGCAGTTATTATTATCATAATGGCTAAAGGCCCCAGCTGGGACCAGAAATCTATTCTGGTAGGTGTTGTATGTGTAGTCCCCACCCTGAAGAGCTTACAACTTAAATAAACAAGCAAGACAAGGCTTGGTAGAAAGGCTGAAATAGTCTTACAATCCTACAGACAGGAAGGAGAGAAAGCACTTAAAAAGCACATGCTATTATGTCATTTGGCCAAGGTCACCTAGAAAGTCCATGGCAGAGACTGGAATTTAATTTAAGGGCTCCTGAGTCTCCTTGCTTATGGATGCAGTTGCCTTGTTCTCCAGCTCCTCTCTCCTCATGCGCTCATCCCCAGTAGCACTGTATACTTTTCTTAGAAACCCATTCCAGGTTGTTTTCAGCAAGAGCTGCTGATGGAGAGCAGCCTCCCTGGGGAGACATCTGCATGGATGAGTCCTCTCTTGGACCTTAGGTGGGCAGAGGCAGCTCTCACCCTGTGATGTGTTGGGTTTTGGCATCCTGTGTTTTTTGTCTCCAGCTGCCTGCCCCTTGTATGTACCCTGCAGGGAATTTTCTCCATGTAAACAGGCAGTGGGGAATGTAAACCTTGCATGGCATTTCCCAGCACACCCTCCTCACCCTACCCACTCCTGCAGTGCCCTGGGAGATGCCTACTCTCTCCTCCCCTGTTCCCTCCAGCCCCATTCTGTTCTTCTCCTCTTCCAAAAGCTCTTTAGCCCTCTCGCCCCTGGTACTTTTCCACCTGCAGGTCCCACCAACCCTGATGCCTTTGCAGCTCCCTTGGTTATACCTCCCTTCCCCTGCTACCCCAGCCATCTTCTCATACATTTTAGGAGACTTCTTTTAATTATGCTTCATTTTATGGGGATTTAGGACACACAGAAAGCTACCTGCCAGCCATCCAAATGTGACCAACAAACCACCCTCCTGTGACTAAGCTGCTTTGGATCGTGCCCAGGAGCTGACTATGACTGTTCAGCCAGCTAACAAGCAGCACAGCAATGCTGAAACGAGCAGGATAAAAGGGGGCAAAAAAGAGTATATGTGCATGGAGCAAAGGCATTGCCTGTCACCCAAATGGACTGAGCTCAGGCTGTACTGCAAAGGGTGGTTGTGAGTGGGTCAAGGTGCACTGAGAAGATGCTCCCCAGGGCAGGAGGGTTTTGTCCCCTGTCTGGGGCAGAGACCCTGACTGGATGCCTGCTCCCCTCCTGCCCTCCTGACTCACTATTACAAATGTTTGGCCCTGTAACTCAACACTGTCCAACCCACGACAACACATGCTCTCATGCCTACTCTTTTACTGCTGAGAAACCTTAAGACCTTGATTTTGGGAACAGGAGGGCCGGGGCTCCAAGGAAATGTATGCTACTGGCATTGTCCCATGGTGAATAAGCAGGGATGGAGTAAAGAATTTCACTGTGTTGAGAAATTCTTTGGTTCATCTTCCAGCTTCTAGCAGCTGGCTAGTAGTGGGCTTCCCAAGCTTCTGATCATATCCTGACTGTAGCATTTGACAAGTGGACGTCTTGGCCTGGACCCCCAGCACATCCGGGATGCTCCCAGCATCTGCCTGGGATCCTGAGTCTGAACGCCAGACAGATGTTGTTTCTGCTGCCTGGCACTTCACAGCTGCATCTGGCTGCTTTCCCCTCTGCATGAAGATACGGTAGGATATGAGGGGCTGCAGAGGAGCATTGAGGCAGGGTGCTGATGTGGGCTGGTGGCAGCTAGCCCTGCAGTGGCAGCCAGGTCACCTGGCAGTGTGGCTGAACTGCCATCCTGAGACAGGGTTTGGATGAAGCTGCACACAAAGCAATGATGGGGAGAGCTTGTCCCCTTCTTTTGCAGGAAGCAAAGCATCCTCTGCAAGGCAGTTAATGCTTTTGCCTTGTAAGCAAGCTAGCTGGCCTCACGGGCAGCCTGTTGATGACCTGAGCTGAGGTGTGGGATCTCTCCTCCATCTGCATGCTATATGCTTGAGAGACCTCCTATAACTGGGGACTTGGCAATTAATTGTGAACACGTGTGCCAAGAGGCTGGTCCTCTGTACACAAGCCAAGGTGCAGGGGTGGGAGGATGCTTTGCTGGGCAGAGCAGGCACTAGGGTCCCCTTGCACCAAGGAGGCTCCAGATACATTATTGATTAGAAACGGGAGCACATTCCTGCAGGGCAGCCTGCCAGTTACCTTCAGAGTGGTTGGCTGGAAGCCAGCCCATCACTCGGTGCTTATTCTCGATGGGTCAGCAGTCCACTGTTTGGGAAGGCACAGCTGAGAAGGTCGTGGCAGAGCAGATCTCATCTCTGATTTCACAGCCCTCTCTGCAAGGTGAGGAAAGACTTTAATTAGTCCCAGCAAATGATGTTGTTTAGTAATGAACCAAAGGATGGAGGCTGTGTTGGCCCCATTCCCTTCCTGTGCTGCTGTTGATCCTGTTGTGACCTTTGCTGTGTCGGCTGTTTGTCTGCAGACCTGCAAAGCTCATCTGATAACATTGTTGTGGTCACTGGAAGAGCAGCCGACATTTGAATTAATTTTAAACTGCAGCCGTAGCCTCTGCGAGTGGTTGCAAAGCACTGTTGTGGTCATACCGCTGACTTGCACCTTTTTCGTATCTTTCATTTTGGCTTCTTTCTCTTGCTGGGGGTTGAGGATGCTGCACTGTCCACAGGGGATGGCTGTTAGAGAGGGAGGAGGCTGTCCTCCATGCAGGGGCTGCCCCAGCAGCATCCCTGCCGATGGGACTGAGCACAGGGAGAGGCATGGTGGGAAGGAGCAGTGCTTTGAGAAGCCTGCCTTCAAAATTAAACCTTTTGAGGGATGCCCTAGGTGATTTCCAGGCCTCCTCACATCTGTGATAAGTTGTGATTGCCTCTGCTGCAGGGAAAACCCCCAACTTGAAAGGACATGCCTGGATAGTTCTTGCCTCTCCTGGAGCCCTCTGGGCACAGACTGGTTGTGGGAAACACCCGGCTCACAGCATGATTTTATTTTATTTTTTTTCTCATGTTTAAGGAAGAGGTTTACCATCAAACCCAGTCTGCAACCTTACTGGTGGCATATTGCCTCCAGTGCCTGATCTAAGATGCATTGGAGGTACTGGATTTCCAGGTCATTTTAAACACCTTCTAGTCCTGCAGATGGTGGCTGGAAGCCCTGGCTGGCTGGAGCCTCCTCTCCTGAGTGTCCCCTTCCAGCACCCAAGCAGGGTGGCAGCAGAAGGGATTAGAACTGGGACTAAATAATGCTTAGGAAATAGTTACTGAGGGTTGTGCAGAGTGGTAGAGATGAACCTGCGCCTGGTCTGCCAGAGGCAGGGCTGGGAATGTGGAGAGCAAGCCAGGAGCTGTCTTCTCTGTGGCTCAAACAGACCAGGAGAAACCTGCTTAGCTACTCCCTTTTTCCTTTGTGTTTTTTTGTTTTGTTTTGGGTTTTTTTGGTGGTTTTTGTTTTTGTTTGTTTTTTTTTTTTTTTTTTTTTAATTATTTTTTTCCTTTTCCTCTCGTTTTTGAAACAGATTGAGTTGTCTCTTTAATGGAAGCTAAACGCAGGCCGAGCGTGACCTGGCATCTTCCCAGGGATGCACTTGCTGCATCCCTTTGTTTAGCCAGACCCAAGCCCTCTCTTAATGCATCCTCCTCCCTTTTCTCCCTCTTGTGGCCTTCAGGATTCCTACAGAAAGCAAGTAGTCATTGATGGAGAGACCTGCTTGTTAGACATCTTGGACACTGCAGGGCAAGAGGAGTACAGTGCCATGAGAGACCAGTACATGAGAACAGGGGAAGGATTCCTGTGTGTCTTTGCCATCAACAACACCAAGTCCTTTGAAGATATTCACCAGTACAGGTCAGTATCCTGGGAAGGGCCCTTTCCCTCTTGCCCTGTGCAAAGGGGAGGCCTTGCCTCTGCACCCTCCTGCCCACCCTTTTAGATCAGGCCCAGTGGTGGAAGCACTGGCTGCCAGCAAAGACAATTAGCTCAAGTGGCCATTCCCCAGGGAAGAGACGGAGCAGACGGCTAATGTCAGTGACTCCAATAAAGCCCATCTGAAGGGATTCCTTGTGGCCTTTGGGGACTCGGTAATGTAATGTTTAAGTGTTTATGGTGACTAAAGAGAGAGCTGATCCTGTATGACCCCCTTCTTTCCCTCCCTAATTAGTGGAATTGCTTTGTTAGCGCAATCGATCTCAGGGACTTCTGCTGGGCCCTGGAGCTGGGAGAGGAGGCTGAGAAGGGCAGGGAGGGCTGCTTGCTCTGCTGTCTGCCGTTGTGGTGAGGCTGTAGTCTGCCAGCTGCACACATGCAGGGAAAAGCAGTCCTGCCCCTTTGGAGCTTGGTTTCAACCAGGGCAAAGACTGAGCAACAGGGGAATCAGGACCCCAACGAGGTAATTTGCCCAAGACAATGTACGGGGAAGCGGCGACAAAGCAGGGACCTCGTCCCGACATGGTCCTGCTTTGGCAGCACCTGAATAACTCATCCCACTTCTTCTCCTTGCTGACATCACCCCTGCAGAGCTGGAGAGGTACGGAGGTGATACAAACACAGCAGGAATCTTTCCTGTTTATCCCGATGCTTAGGGAGGGATCACTCTGCCTTGTGCCTTTTTCTGAGGCTTGGCTGTGATGGGAGGCACTTGCAGAGGATGCAAGAGATGGCTCTGCCTGTCCCTGCTCTGTCCACTGCCCACCAAGGGACTGTGTACCCCAGTCCCCCACCATAAACTGCCGTTCCAGTAATCCCGTTGTTCCAAGCACAGGCACAGCCCTTCCTTGCTCCATAGTCCAGAGGTGCTGCTCTGAGCTGTTCCAGTCTCAGTGAGCAGGCTGTTCAGTGTAATAGCTGCACAGGTGGACTAATTTGGCTTGTTTTAGCTAAACTGGAGGACAAAGGATGGGATTTTCCTAAAGCACCTGAGGGATTAAGCAACATTCATCCTTGTGCTGGGACTGGTGCCTGTGAATTGCTTGCAGGATGGCACTATTTCAAGTCATCATGATCGTGGTTTAAATCACTGGCTTTCATCTCCTTCAGCCTCTGCTCTTTGTGTTTGCACTTTTAAAGAATACTCCCCAGAGAAATGCTGGCTCTTCCTGGTTAGTAACCATTTGAAGATATCTCTTTTCAGCTAAGTGTAGCCTGTGCACTAAATTTAGTACTTGCATTTGCTGATCAGGATGTTACATGGAACATTTAAATGGCTTTATGGCATATCATGCATATAGTTAGACTTCATTTCTATGTTCTACTTCATTAAAAAAAGATAATTGATTCTTTTGTATGTGATACATGTCCAGCTGCCTTTGGATGGAAATTTGCATTAAATTAAAATGCAGAAATTGGCATTTTAAATAATGCTTTTATTAGTTTAATAAAACCATGTTAAATGTTCTTGATGCATGAGCAAAAAAAAAAAGCTAAAGTTAAATGATTTATTAAGCAAAGGAAGTTATTATCTATCAGAAGGGAATTGAATGGATTGTTTGTGGTCATAATGGACTTTAAGAGTTTCAGAAGTGGTAGATCTCATCCTCGCCCACCTAGTTTTAGATCCAAGGTTGGAATGAAGAAGTGAGCATTACAGTTTTTTTAGTTCCCAATTGGTTTCTCAACTTTGAATGACCTGAACTAAACTGAGAGGGAGCAAATACTGCCTGTGCATCTGCAGAAAAGGTTACAGCTGCCAAAAGCTGCTCTATCAGCTCAGCAAATTCTGATTGCAGTTGATTTTTTATTGTTTTTATCCCCATTTTGGGGAGATTACTTGATCTAAAATGTTGGAAGTAGTACAGGTAACTGCTCAAGAATTCATTTTTATTTAGCTTAAACTATCTTAAGGTCATTTCTTAATATAGTTTATCATAATTCAAGTTGTTTTGTAAATAATTGCAGTTAAAGAGCAGAAGTATGTTTAGTTTTCATTTCCAAAAGTGCCCTAGCTATTTTGCTTTTTATTCACTTGTGTGCCATAGTCATTTACATTTTCCTGAAAGCCCAACACAAAGCACTTGACAGGAGCAAGGCGTAGCTGTTGATTCTTGACAAAGAAGCTGGTGGGGATTGTTCTGGAGCTGCCCCTGATGCCTTTTCTCCCTTCACTTTGTCACTTCTTCCTGTTTCAGGGAGCAGATCAAGAGGGTGAAAGACTCAGATGATGTTCCTATGGTGCTGGTGGGGAATAAATGCGACCTACCAGCCCGGACAGTGGAGACTCGGCAAGCGCAGGACCTGGCCCGGAGTTACGGGATCCCCTACATAGAAACGTCTGCCAAAACCAGACAGGTAGGAGGAGGGTTTTAAACAAAATGTTCTTCTTGTTTTCTTTTCTCTATTGCTGCCCTGGAATGGCAGGAACAGGCAGACACCAGCTTGCAGACAGATGGGTGCAAGGGCTGGGGTTAGTTGCTTCTTCAAGGCTAAGTGCTCCGTCAGGATATTCTCTCCCCAGTCTGGGCTTGAGCCTCCAACCTGGAGAAATGCATAATTCATGCTCTGGCAGCAGTGATACTTTCTAAGGCCTTTCTCCCAGGCTCTGGAATAACCCCCATAAGTCACTGCAGGTCAGCTAAGCTCAGGGGCCTTGGCTAACCTCATCCGTCGTCTATTTTGGCAGACCTACAGGCAGAATATACCAGTGCTGGAAGGACCATGTGGGGCTCCCAGAGCACAAAGGTGGAAATGGAACAGCTGACACCTTCAGTGGTCCAGTGGTGGCTTTTCTCTTGGTGGTGGACCTCATTCAGACTGCTGAAAGCTGATGAAACTCAGGGACTTGAGAGCTCTTTGGCCTCGTGGTTGCTCATTCAATCTTGCTCTCTGTTCAAGGGACACACTAAGTCCTTGTTAAGTCTCCCCAGCTTGGTTTTCTGCCTTTAACTCTGCAATTTGCACTGCTGGAAGACAGAGCTAGGAACACCTTGCTGGGGAGCAGAGCCCTCTCTTCTCTCCACTGTCCCCTCTCAAAGTGGGCAGCTGCTTGGAGTGATGCTTTTTTCCCCAGGGCGTTGAGGATGCCTTCTACACCTTGGTGCGGGAAATCCGTCAGCATAAACTGCGCAAGCTGAATCCCCCAGATGAGAGTGGCCCTGGCTGCATGAACTGTAAATGTGTGGTATCATGACTATGGTGAGTTGTGGAAGCACGAGATGTGGTGCAGTGGGGTTATATCGGCAGCAGGCGATGGAGTGCCATGGAGATACGTTGGAAGCAGGGCAGGTGGTGACTACAGATGCACTTGTCTGCAAACAAATGCAGCAGAAACGATTTCAGCAGCAGATATTTTTTGAATGAAACACCTTTTCATTGAAATAGCAATAGTCAAAATTCCCACTTTCCTGGGGAAGTGTGGGAGAGGAAGGCGTTGTTAATTTCCCCCCTCATTTTGTAAAACAAGATTCTATAGAACTGATTTTTTTTTTAAAAAGTATGTTTTGTTGTGCTTTCCCCAAGAAAGCTTGTTCCCATGTTGCTGCTCTGAAAGAGAAGTTAAGCTGGTGTTGAAGCTGTACAGCTCAATGCCTGCTCACCAGACTGGCTCTAGAAGAGTTCAGATGAAGAGCTGGGTGGGTGCATTGCCTTCTAATGCACTCATGAAAATTGCCTCATCCTAAAGCTGTAGAGCAGACCTGTCTTGCTGTGAAAGTCCTGTGTTCCTCAGAAGAGTTTTCCCCATTAGATATTTCCCCTGGGATATTTGGAACTGATGCAATGTTGAGAATTAGCCATAAGGGGGCTGTTTTGCTTTTATAAATTGTGTGTGCTGGAGCCAGAAACAGCGTTTTTCAGATTGTTTATGTTCACTTGCCTCTTTTTCTTCTTTTTCTTTCCTTGTTATTTTTTTTTATGATGAGTTTATTTAAATCATTGCAATCCTGCTGGATAGCAATCAGGGAGAGCTCCTATTGTTGTCCCTACTGGCCTGTGAATATCTGTCTGTGTGACCAACTCGTTCCATGGCAGAAGTGGAGAGAGGGGCAATTGGGGATGAGATCTGTATCTCTATCTAAGGACATCTGGGACTGGAATGTGGGAGAAAAGCCTGCATGAACATTGCCCTTAATGTCTTTTGGGGAGTCTCCCAAGCATCTGGATGGGCCCTTCACCCCTCTAAACAACTGCTGGAGTCCTAAAGAGAAGTGCATTATATCCAGAGATGGTGCTAAGAGGGTATCCTGAAGGTGGAAGTGGTCAGCTGGTGGTTGCCTCCGTTGCTTTTTGAGCCAAAGGCTGTGAGCACATCAGAGCTCTTCCTCCTACCCCCACCCCCCAAAAAAAAACCCCAGCAAACAAAAAATGCTGGCAGTGTTTGCTTCCTATGAGCAGAAAACCACCCAAGGACCCCACCCCTCTGCTCCCAACTGAGGCACGTGAGGTCATCTGGGGGCCGAGCCAAATGCTGTGCCCAGCACACTTATCACTACTAAGGGAGATTTTCCAGATGTTTGGGTCCTCCAGATGTTCAGGAGCGTTTCCTCCGGATGGGGATGTGAGCTCAAGGCTCGTTTCCTGCTCTGGCTCACAGCTGACAGCATGGGCTTGGCAGACACTGCCGCTCCCTTACACTGCCAGGAGCCTAGTCCTTGTCACAGCCCGGTGGCAGCACTGGTGTGGGCAAGAAGGGGAGGGAAGGAGTCTCTTGGAAACACTCCTCTCTCTTAAAAGAGCATGCCCTGAGAGTTGCCCAAGTCTTTTTCTGCTCAGACAGAAACTGGAAACCAGACATCCCAGCTTACTCTAGCTGCAGTGGCCGAGAGCAGGGAGGGAGGAACATCAAAGCACAGAGGGAGAAGTGAGGCAAAGACATGCTGGGATCTGGGGAGGGGAAGGGTGGGTGTGTGGCCAGGGAAATTTGGTTGCATTTGCCCTGGATTCACTTTGTGGTTCCCATCATCCCTGGAGGAGGGGGGAAGATCTTGCCAAACAGTGCCCCTTCCCACAAGGAGGTTCAGGCAGAGGCAGAAGGTCTGGTGAGGTGCCCAGGGCTCACCCATCACTCCAAAGCTTATTCCCTTCAGCAGATGTGCAGATGCTTTGCTAAGCCAGGCCCAGGCCTCTGAGACCTGTGCAGCCTTTTGCTTTTCTCTGTGGGCACTAGCAGAGTCATTCCAAAATGTGAGGAAATTGAGAAAATGGAAACAGCCCCGATGGTTCTGATGGTGAATGGGTGCTAATGAGTGTCCTCTTCTGGTTTCAGCTGACTGGACCGTGTCTTGGAGAGGTTCCCACTGTGCAGTGCACAAGGACAGAGGTGAAGCAAAGGAAGAAGCAAACGGATTCAGAGGAGGAATATGGGGGAGGGGGAGAGGAGGAGGAGGAAGAGGACAGGGTGAGCATGAGCCCTCCAAGGACTATCTCACACTTCACCCAAGCCTGCGGCAAACAACATTTTTTCTTTTTTATCCCCATCCCCTCATCCTTTGGCGTCCTCCCACCCCGGCAACTGTACAAAGCCACAGATTGAATCACAGTAAATTATTATTTGATGGTCTCGACAAATCATCTTGATGGCTGTGTTCTCCTTCCAGAGGGTGCTGCTGCTGGTGCTCCTGAAGGATTGCTGATGGGATGGCAGGGAGGAAAAGGTGCTGATATTTGCTCTCCGCAGACCAAGGTCATGCTGTAGATCATGAAGGTGATTGGGGTGGGAAAGACAAGCTGCCTTTCAGGGCAAGACAGCTTGTCTTTGTCTCCAGCAAGTTGTTGTCATGGTCCCGTCACCTCCAGCCCACCTGAAACTCTGCTGGCTCCAAGTTTTGGTAGGATGGAAGAATCCAACCAGTCCAAGCTTGTCCTCGGTGCTCCCTTGAGTGCCTTGCTTTCAGCCTAGTTCTTGTGTGATTTTTTTATGGCCTCAGATGCAGTGCCTGGAAGGAAAGAAGCAATGAGGAGGAGATCCAAAAGCCTAGTTCACTTCAGCTGGTGTCAGTTAGTTGCTTCTGTGACTTTTTTCCAGGCAGCTCTTTCTGGCACAAGACCTCCATAATGTATTGTGCTCCAGAGGTAGAATTAGGCCTTTCTGGTCCCCTCCAGCACCTAGCTAGTGCTAACACCTGTATAGTACATATACCTCAGGCTGTTCTAGTCTGTTGGCAGCGTGTAAAAGTATGCAAATCCTCATCTGCCCCGTGCGTGGCTTCATTACTGGTGAGCACGTAGAGAAGGGCTTTCGTGCACTGCAGATAGCTGTCTGGCCGCTCAGCAACTAAGACGAAAGGATTCAGGCTTCCAGTCTTGGGTTTAGAGTAGGTAAGAGTGTTTTGGATAAGGGCTAATGTGTTGGGAACCCCATCTTTGCTCACATCTGCTCCTTTGTGATTTTTGCCTGAGCTCTGACCTGTGTGCTTTTCACTCGCAGACCCAAGATGACGCACTGTGCGCAGTACTGCGGGTGGCTCAGTACTCGCTGCCTTTCCCTCTCCCAAGCTATTGCACATGCTAATTTAGCTGGCATCCAGAATAAAGAGCACCAAAGGGGGAAGGTGATCCAGCTGAGTGTGGCAGAGAGCTGTTCTGCATGGGCTAGCCCAGGCCTGAAGAGGTGCTGGCTTTGGCAGCCAAGGCCGGTCAGGGTTGGGAGTGGCGAGGGCGGTGTGTGAGTCACATGCTTCATATGGCAAAACTGGTACAGAAACCCTGGTCACCCTCAGCACAAAGCCACAGCCCACCCAGGGGTTCCCAGCATCCATGTGAATAGCCCCCATCCCACTCCTCATCCTCCCTCATGCCAGGCAGCAGCAGAATTAAAGCAGCAGAAATTCAACTCCTGTACTGCTTGGAGGTGCTGCCTTTGCTTTTGGCCTGGGCAAGAAAGGACTTGTGCTAATGGCTTGGGTTTTTGTACATGCCTGCTCCCGAACTGCTGTGGGGCACAGCCCCCACCCTGGCTGCAGCTGCCTGGCACCCTGTTCCCATAGGAGAAGGACTGATACCAGCTAGAGTGGGAGAAGTTGCCCAAGGGAAGAGCTGCCTTGCCTTTAGCTGGGTGTGCTGTTTGCAGCAGCGCCTGTCCCTGTGCTGTACGAGTGCTAAATTTGCTGAGTCTGGTATTACGTGGTGGGACTGGACCAGAGGCTCCCAGAAAACCTCCCAACCTAAGTTGTTTCAAGTGTGAAGCCTGGAAGAATGGTGTTTGTTCCTAAGTTGGCAACTTGTGTGCAACTTGTGTGCAACTTGTGTGCAACTTGTGTGCAACTTGTGTGCAACTTGTGTGCAGCATGGGGCAGAGGGCAGGGATACTTTGTCCTTCTAGAAGATGACTAAAAGCCTTAACAGTTAGTGGGGTGGGTTGACATGGGAGCCCTCGCTTGGTGGTGTTTCTGCACTAGGAACCTAGTGCTCTTTATCTGCGATAGAATTTCTCCCATCCTCCACCAGGCCCTTGGTGAAGGATGGGATAGCTGTATCTGGAGGCCTGCAGACGAGAATTAACACTATGTCTGGGGCTTTCTCAATGACTGGACTCTGGATGGCTCTAACCACAGAGAGTATTCTCTCATTTCTGGTTGGGAGCCAAGTGCCACAGTGAAGGACTGGGAGCTGTGGTTAAGCAGCTCCCCTGGGGAGCTCCTGGGAGCACTAGGAATGAGGTGTCTTCGCAGGGCAGGCACCAGCTGCAGTCACAAGAAACTGGCACGTCTTGGTGAGGGTGTGCTAGTGACACTGGCCAGAATGCAAACTACTTCAGCAGCTTGGTCGGGAGCAGGAAGCCAAAGTGGGAGCATCTCCCTTTCAGAATGGTTTCTGAACTCCTCAGAGTAAGGTTTTCCAGCTTGTTCAGGAAAGCTCCATGTCTGGTCAAGTCACGTATGTTATCATAGCTTGTTTGAGCACCTGCTAGTTGCAAAATACTGTTGCTTCCTTGGACCACTCTTCCTGGCTGTTGCACCAAGAAGTGCTGAAAATGAGCTGTTTCATTCACAGGTCAGCATTCAATGTCACCATCAGGCACCAGACAGGCTTTTCTTCCCAGCAGAAGAATTCAGTTGAAACTTCAGAGCTTTCTTCTGTTGTACACTTCAAGTGATTTCAGATATTGACAGTTTGTTCTGGTGTAGCTGGTTGTAGTCCTGTTTTATGTATAGCTAAAGCAGACCTAGATGTGCTCGGAAACACTGGGCTTCTGCAAATGGCCCCAAGAGTTCTTCAGCAGCCAAGGTCTCCCTTCACCTTGGTGCAGGTGGTAGGACAGTGCTATGACAGGACATTTCAGAAATCCAGTGGTCAGATAAGAGGTAGAACTGGAGACAGCAAGCATCTGAGGAGGACCTAGCTGATGAGTAACATTCTGAGTCTGGCAGTTCACAGACCAGTCTTTGCAGCCTTGTGGATTGCACCCAGCAGAAGCAGGGCAGCCAGGACCCTTTTTCAAACAGTGCTGGTCAGTAACATGACCATCTCAGGAGCTGGTTAGCCTTTTGTGTTAATTGGAAGATCACAAGAAACTCCAGCTCAGGGTCAAGTCCATGCTGAAAGCTGGAGATAGTTTGGGAGCAAAAAGGTGCTAAAAGCTTGACACCACAGCTCTTCTCTGGAAATCACGTTTTAATTGTGTATTAATGTAGTGCTGTATCTTTGTTTTCAGAAGGAGAGTCATGACAGATCTTCAATATGCAGTAAGATACATCAGCTGTGATCTGATCTGATCTTTTCTGTAGGCAAAAAACTGATTGTATCACTTCTCTCAGGTGGAGCTGTTCCTCTGGATTTGGCTTTTTCACTTGCTGCCTTGGTGCTGGTAATTTGGGTACAGGACAGCAACTTGCTGGCCGTGACAGGCAGAACGTCAGTATATGAGCTCATGATATATTGTCTGCTTGCTAGCTGAACTTCTCAAGTCTGAAAGTAATGTCAGAATTTCAGTTTCACTGGAGTGAATGTAGGCCTGGAGAAGGAATTGTGGGGTTTGGATTTGGTTTTTCCCATAGTTTTTTAAGGCACATTTGTTCTAGAAGTACGTGGACTGGAATATGCAGTTTTCGGACGCTGCAGTCATTTCCCTTATGACAAGGAGTTTGTTGCCTGTCTCAACTCTGCTTCTGTGGCACAAGCTTAGGTGAGCAGAATGTACAATTATTCTGAAGGGCTGATCCTGTTGCATAGCTAGAAGCTGCAGGAGTCCACAGAGGAAAGCTTTTTGCTATATTTGACACATCAGCTCACGTTTGGCTGTTGTGACCTCTTCAGCTGGTCATGGCAAGGCTGAACTAAAGTTGGTGTTGTGCTCCAGCAAGTGTGAGCACCACTTCTGAGAAGGCTTCAGTCATCCTACTGATTATCTGTTGACACTGCATCTCCTGTGATGAAGGAGAGCCACCTTTGAACCTGTACTTAAATGACAGAATAGCTGACGAAGTCTGTTCTAGTCTGGTCAGGTACACGTCTCAGGATGTATAATGTATGTTTTTCTCTCACATTGTTCAAGAGCCTCACACCCTATTACAGGGGGGTTGGGGCTCTAGAGACATCACAGCTGAGTCAACTGAGGTAATTGCTTACAAGTCCTTAAAGATGCTGATTAAATGCTGGAACAGATCTCATGCCTTTTGGTCTCTCAGGGCTTCCACAGAAGTATTTTCCTAAGCCAGCAGAGATGGTGACGCCAAAACAGATGAGCACATAGTGCTTGCTGAAGGCTTTGGCAAGCACCTTGGTTGAGTTTTCAGGAGCTGGCAGCAATGGCTCATTGCTGGAGTGAGATGTGATGGTAGTGGCAAGGGTAGCTGAATGAAAGGCTTGAGTTCTATGGAGAAGCATTGGCTAAATGCTGGCCTCATCCTCCTCACCTGCAGTCTGGTTGGGTAAAGAGGAGCAGACCAGGTTTCCCTTCTGGACTACAGCCACTGCTGCAGACCTTTTCAGCCTAAGTGGTACTTCCAAATGGCACTTTTTGCCTCCACCAGGAGCCATAAAGGTAAGCAAAGCCACTCCAAGAACCAGCTTCCCCAGGCAACTGCCTGCCTGAGGTTATCTAAGTCTGTCTGCAGGCTTAGGTATCCCAGGGGCTGGGCGCTGATGTGGAGCCAGGCTGTGGCCTCCAGGGCACCAGAGTGGCTCAGGCTCTTAATGGGATAGTTGGAAGCAGGGGCTTGTGGTATTGCACCCTGTCTATCCACAGGTACCTCTAAGGGACCTCATACCACTTTTGGACCAAGATGCAAGTTCTTAGTTTACCTTTCTCTGTGTCTTAGGAGGAGCCTGTTTTCCTATGTGGAAGAATAGGGCTCAATAAGCCAGGCTTTGGTGACTTCAGTCCCTCAGATTCATGTCTTTGTGTGTACCTTCAAAGCCATCTCCATCACCATCTTGGGCTCATTTGTAACTGCTGCCAGTGAGTGAGCATGCTTGTGGGATGAGACCACCTGCTGCATGAACTACTGAGATATTATTTCACCTCTGGTTTGCTTGTCTCCTGCACTGTCTTGGTGTCCACATCCTTCCAGGTGAACAGGATCCTGGTGTATGCCCTGTGGGCTTCCTCAGCTGCTGAGGTTGTAGGAT